TCAGGATGAAAAGTCGAGATTATTTGATGGAGATGAATATTTGTTAATGGAAATGTGAACTAAGAAAGAGAATTTAAGTTGATTTTATGTCTTATTTATATCCTTTTTAAAATTTTAAATGTCATATTGACTGTAAGGTTTTCAGTATTCTGAAATACAAACGATCTTTGCAGAATGGTTCAGCATTAAGATACATGTGCAAACAATGCATTTGGACAAAATATTTATAAAAATTTTGCTGTTTTTAATAGATGTGATTGTGTTATAATTTCCTTTATCCACCCACCTTTTTTTGTTTGTTCTGGCAGCTGGCTGGTATGGTCCAAAACCTTGACTTTGGTTTTATAACATGGTGCTCTATCCAAGTGAGCTAACTGGCCAGCCACCATCTTACTTTTTGAAGAAATGTGGTTAGCCCATTTTTTACTTGGCCTCATGAAGAGTTTGGTTATGACAGATGTGCACCTGTACATAGGATCCTGCAAATTAGATGATGAGCAGCTATACACAGGTTTCTGTAGGTTTGGGAAGAAGCCAGGAACACAGATGAAGTTGTAAAATATCTTTGTGATATAAATAGGTAGGAGTTAAAATTGGTAGATTATGATATTTTCCAGGAGGTCTGTGTAGAATGTGAAGAGAAAACAGTTGAGGATGAGCTCTTGGAGGAGTTAGTATTTATATGACAAAAAGGGAAAACACATACTGATGGGGACTTAAAAGAAATGATAAGTGAGGCAGGGGAGATCTAGGTAAGACAGTATATTGAGGGTCAAAGAGAAGAGAGAAGAAAAGCCCTAAAAATTGTCCTTTAGATTTAGCAAGTGGTGGTCACTAGTATCCTCTGCTTAAGCAGTTTTAGCAGAAACTGATTGTAGTGGATAGAAGAAGAGTTGAGAGAAAAAACATAAGACAGCTAGAGTAGGCTATCATTGCAAGTTTGAGAAGGAATAGTAGAGAAAGTTGCAGTGAGTTGGGAGCACTGTGGGGAAGCATGTGCAGTAAAGCCGAGATTGCTTTATTTTAAAGAATGGGAGGGACTTAGTTTTACTGTAGGATGAAGAGAAGGTAATAGTGGAGAGAAAGGTTAAATATACAGAGGAGAGAAAGGATAACAGATGGAGCTGAGTCTCAGCTGATATTAGAGACCTTGTATTGAGTGTTCAAATTGACAGATTTGTCTTCACTGGAACGTATATGGTAAAAATTCTTAGTTCTTCCTCAGTAGATTACAAACATGTCAAAGGAAAAAACCATATTGAATTAGAATATGATCATACTCAAGGTGCATGTAGGGTGACATTATACACGGCATGTGGCACACAATGAATGATTGGAAATGGTGACTTATAATGAATCTGTATTATTCTAAAGAGCTAAGATAGGTCATTGATACAAAGAAATAAGTGGACAGAGATCACGTCCATTATGATAACCACCAATTCTGTGATGTGTGGAATAGAAAGAGGAAGCCATTTGTCTCAGAACCAATATAGAATGTTCTTACATTTTCTCTCTTTGATTCAATAATAATCTTTCATCAAAAGTTCTGCAATTACAAGACTATTGATGTAACAGCAATATTATATACTAGCTCGTAAATTACCTCTTGCCCTAAAAATAATTATTTGCAAAACAGTATCTGATGTTTGGGTATAAGCATTTATTTATTTAGCTATCTATTTATTTATTCTTCTTATTTTCTCCAGAAAGAATTTAAGAACATTAATAGTAGAAAAATTGGACTTTGAGTCTGCATGAAGTAAAGGTTTGAATGTATGATTGAAATAACACAGACCCGCCCTATAGCAAAGAGGGACACATTAATTTAACTTCCATCATCACCACATCGACACAGAGCTGTGAATGCATAATGATCAGGCTTTTTTTTTCTTACATTTTTGCCAGAAACAAACACCTGGAATGCTGCCTAATGAACCCAGCTATTCTCCATCTGTTTTTTTCTTGAACTTATTCCCATTTGCTATGTAACTGTGGACAGGGATTCTATAGGGAACAGGAATTTATAGTCCCAGGTCATAAGAATCAGTAAAATCTTGGCTTAGTGACTTGGGCTATGTTAACACTTCCGATTGCAAATAGAAAAATATTTTGTATTTATTTAGAGAAAAATGCTCTAAATTGGTTATGAATGAGTTTATTAAAAGGCATTTTTTTTCGTGAGTGCAATTTTCATCGTATAAAACCTGATTAGTCAGACTAACTCGGTAGAACTCTAGTTCAATTCAGAATTTTAGAACATTTAAAGCGAATGTGATTTTATTACTTGCAAATACACATTGCATTTCATATTAGGATGAAAATGTTTTCTAAGAGTAGGCTTTATGAAATTTACTCTAAGCATAGTTATATCAATTAATATCTGTGAATAGATGTTTCTAGAAAGACTGATAACTGCTTTAAAAGACTTTCTAATCTTACTGCCTTGCTGACTCCATTCTGAGTCTAACCCAACATTTGATTGTTCTGTGAATGAAGAATAATAATGTCCTTTTTTCCTTGGTAGGTTTGTGGATACATTGGGACTGATAACATTATTATAAATATCTACAGTGGTGCCTCAAAAGATCTTCCATCACTGAGCTTATGAATTTAATCACTTTTAAGTCATCACAAAGATGGCCATGTGTATTTTTCTGCAAGTCCAACATCGTGTTTAAAAGAATAACTTATATTCAGTAGAACTAAATTATTCTTCTTTCAGAGAACATAAATATCATGCCTTTCATGTTACAAAGAAGCATGCTTGTCTGCATTGTGTGCTTTCATGATGTGAGTAGAAACACAACATGATACTTGTATGAAAATACGTTATTGAACAAAAATCCACTTAATGTCTATTATAGGCTGTTTGTTATGTTTTAACTTTAGCTATACAAGTTTAGGTGGGTAATGACTGACCTATCAAGTGACTCTGACAACTGCCTAGGCATATTTATCACTATTGGAGATAATAACAGATGGGCTGCTTTTCATTTGTGTGAAATGTTCTGTTTCAAGTTTTCATACATATGGCACATCACAATACATTTTTGAGGAATGTAGGATAAATATTAATCAACACCCCCTGTTATGTACTCTATACTGTCTTTCCCTTGCCACTTTTTTCTTTCTTTCCTTTCCTTGCCTTTTTAAAAAATTCTTTTTTTAGTTATTTATCGCCAATATTCTGTGAGTGGCAAGAACTGTGTTTGGTTATTCAGTGACTCTGTGGCTACTATCTAGCCCAGTTTCTTGCACAGGCTATATGCTGTATAATACTTTTTGAATGAATGAATTCCCATCTCATGAAAGAATGAATTACAGAGAAATCAATATATTTCTGAGTTGACCTAGAAGCAGAACCAGAATCCATTTCTTTTATTTCTGGGTCTTATTTCTCCCTTCCCCATTGTACCATTTTTATACTTTATCTTTCTGTAGGAGTGCCCCAAATGGTAACTAAATTTACATGTGGAACTCAAGACTGATCTTCAGTTGTTAAAGAACTCTTACAAAGAAAATCAAGGTATAATATTAGTCATCTTAACAGGAAAAACTAAGAAAAGTGATTTAATTCTAGCATTAGAAATATGAAGAAATACTTGAGGAAGGTTTTCCTAGAAATGTTTTAATGTAAAGTTTGGAATCAATTTAAGGGGATTCTTGTAAACTTTCATTTCATGAATATAATTAGAAATTCAGTGAGTGCTCATGTGTCCTAAATGATGGGGAAGTAAAGCCATTGAGCCCCTGAGCTTTTACATATCCCCATACAGAAACAATGCTCAATCCAAATTCTTTGGATTACCAAATACTTGGATAACAAATCATTCAGTTGCACATTTCGTAATTTATATTATATCTCATAGCCAGATCTTAAAGATTTTTTTAAACATGAAAGATTATTACTGGACAAAAATCTTTCTTCATCTCTAAACTTGTATAGGTTGTTGGATTTAAAGTTATTAAGTCTTGCACAGCTTTTAAACATGAAAATATTAATTTGATAATTTTTGTTACTGAAAGCAAATAAGAATAGGTATTTCTTTAGTGATGGATGAAGTCAGGAAGTCATTTATAACTTTGAAAACATGTTCATACTTCTCTAGCTAGTAGGAGTTCTTGGGGGAATGAAAGCTAGTCAAATAGAAAAATAAAAAATTCACTGTTAGATGTCTGTAATGCAGAGTTGCTGAAATTCTCATCATTTGTTTTAAAGGTCATGATCTGTGGATGTATGTCTCCATGGGCCTTAGAAATGTTGGAAATCTCTAAAGGAGACTCACAACCAAAATTGAACAGTTGATTAATTAGGAAAAGGTTTTGGTACTCTAGTCTAAATGTAAGTTGAATTCTCTTTTGTTAAGGGATAAAAACATAGATTAGGTCAATTTTTTGAATAGTAGTCCTCATCTGGAACAGGAGTTAATTTGCAGTGCCTGTTCCATTTGGAAAATAAAATATTGCAGTTTGGGGTATTATCCATCCCCTAGCATATAATCTTTCTTTTCTTACTTTATTTTTGCCCAGAACATCTTTGAAAAAATTTTTTTTTTATTTTTTTATTTTTTAATTTTTTTTTAATTTTTAAAAAAAGATGACCGGTAAGGGGATCTCAACCCTTGGCTTGGTGTTGTCAGCACCACGCTCAGCTAGTGAGCGAACCAGCCATCCCTATATAGGACCCGAACCCGGGGCCTTGGTGTTATCAGCACTGCACTCTCCAGAGTGAGCCACGGGCCGGCCCTGAAAAATTTTTTTACAGAAAAGAATCTTCTCTCTCTCTCTCTCTCTCTCTCTCTCTCTCTACTGCTGATTGGTCAATAAGGAGATCTGAACCTTGGACCTTGATGTTATCAACACCATGCACTAGCTGGCTAAAGAATTTTCTCTATTGCATTATTTGAAAATTCTGTGTTAACTTTTCTGTAGGCATCTATTTAAGTAAGAGTCATCTTTTAATTTAGTTTGTTCAAAGATTTTAACATTCTCTTCAGGCATCCTGACTTCTGCCAAAACCTTACAAATGGACTGCAGAAAGATGAAAGCAGTGGGTCTGCACTGGATTCAAGGCAGACTTTTGACATATCCAAGACCGATTCATGCTTCAGTTCAAACAGGAGGACCAATGATCGGACAATTATCATGACAAAGAGGTTCCTGATGAATGAGGATTTAGATAAGTTTATAACAGATGGAAAAAAATCACTGGTTTACCAGGTTTCAACTTCTTTCCACTATATAAATGTAGGATGACTAAATAAAACATAGTGTCTGCAAATGTCAAAAAGAAACATTTTTAGTTCATAGTGCATTTAGCTGGATATCATATAGACTCCCTAAGTATATATCCTAATTTTAGCTATTTAGGTTTTCTCTCTATTAAAACAAAGACAAATAACATCTTCTCCTCCTTTTGCATCCCTCAGTCTTATCTCTGAAATCATTATAAACCAGTGTTCTTAAGCTACAAAACCTAACAACATCACCTTCAACTCCTTTCTGTGTTATTTTTCAGATTTGATGATATACACATCAGAGATAATTTATTTGCAGAGTTATTTTTAAATGCAATTCTTCACTGTTTCAATAATTTCCACTCCATTTCAGGCCCCCATCATTTCTTTTGTTCTGTAATCTTTCTTTCACACTGTTACTTGCAGATTTTTTTTCATTATGTAACTAACTGATTATATTCCTTTTCTTGGAAAAACAAAACAGAAACTAAAAGAAAAAAGAGAGAGAGAAAATTTTTAACATGATATTTGTAATTTCTGCCTTTTCGAACTTATTTTCCAAACTCACTTGAGACGGAAAACAATTGAAATGGAGTCTACCACTTCCCTACACAACTGTCTGGAGGGAGTTTCCAGCCCACAAGGCAGGATTTATCTCAGTACAAGAGACAGAGGCCAGTGTATGGGGAGGTTGGGGCTATTACAGTTTGCAGAAAAATATATGAAAGAGGAGGGAACTACACAGATAATTTCAGATATATGCAAAGAAGTCTCATTCAATTTTTGGTTGACTACTCATCTGCATATGCAAGGAAAGAACCATTGGAAAGTGAAAGGTAGAATGATCCCAAAGGTTGCAAAGGACTAGGAATAGCCCATGCTCTAACCAGGAAGAGCAAAAGACCTCCTGATATATTGGAAATTCAGTAAAACTATCAAAAGTTATCAATCATGCAAAGAAGTAGGACAATACAGCCGAACAATCAGGAGAAAAATAAATGTACCAGAAGCAAAACAAATACAGTGAAAACTAAGTCATAACCTTAGTAAAAAAGTAAAAAGACACCCAAATCATGGAAAAAAATACCTGAACTGGTATTCATGATATATAAAGAACTCTTACAACTCAACAGTAAAAAGACAAATGCTCCAATTTAATCCAATTTAAAAGTAGGCACAGGATCTGAATAGATATTTCTCCAAAGAAGATGTAAAGATGAAGGTCCAGGGTTTGATCCCTGTGCTGGCCAGCCACCAAAAAAAAAAAAAAAAAAAAATTACAAAAAAAAAAAAAAAAAAAAC